GATAGTCAGTTTTACCAATTGTATGAAATTCTCTTTAACACTGCTTCGAGTTTTGAGAATATTCCATTTTGTGAAATCTCCCCACCGCATCCTAATGGTAAGAAGCTGCACTGTCGCTCAGCCTAATATATTTTCTTCCAATAAAACCGTAAGCAATAGCGTCTACTTTGCTGGCACACCAATCAAGAATGGGAGTTATTTTTTGAGTGAAATAAACTGAATGATGTTCTTAAGTAACCGGCTATTGTAGATAAAAATGTTCACGTATTCAGATTATTCTCATGGACAAAATCTAAATGTATGAAATAGAAATACATTTATTGCCTCAAAACAGGCGGAATATTCATAGAATGAAACTATTACCTTCAGTTTGACAGAAAAGCTGATGGAGAGGTTTATGACAACTTCGTGTGAAACCTCTATTACCTAGACTAAAGAAGGTATCTGTGAGATTGTAGTAAACTCAACGTTTAATTCATTCATAATAGAATAACCGATAATAAAAATCTTATAAAACATTAAACGGTTGCCTGAAACAAGGCTTCTTTTGAGGATTTTTCTGGTAGTGATCAAACAAAGTTATTGCGAATGTGGTTGCCATCGTATTCCAAAAGTGAAAAACGTGCTGCGGTATGAAGCAATGCGTTTGCTGCATCATTAAAAAAGAAAGCAGAAACAATAGAATCAGGTTTGTTTTTGCCACAACGTTAATACCAAAACACAAGATTTCGGTGACAACGTTTCTACTTTCTTGGAAGGCCTTTATCAAGTCAGCGTAATCGGTTTCTCAAAAACACAAGCTTTTTCAATCTTGTGTTTTGGTATTCATGTTCTGGCAAAAACGAACCTGATTCTATTGTTATCATGAGCACAATACCCATCTTTTTTAAATGATCCTATGGATTTTTAACTGTTTAAAGCAGAAACAGTTTCAATTAGAGTTACTTCAATTTGGTACCACGTACCGGGTCATCTATTGCATCTTTCGTTTATTTTTCCCATATTCTGTTAGAAGAGAATTTCTCTACTAGTGAGTCTTCCATTTTGTGAGGTGATCACATTTCTATTTTGCATTCTATTAACTTATGATAATGTACCCATGACCACTGTCAGTAGAGTAAGCAGGTCAGCAGTTGTTTTCAAGGTAAAGCGGACCGATAATGGAAAATTGGTCTTCACATATGTCTGTATATGTGCAAGAGCAGTCTGTCCTGCAGAATGCTAAGCGTTCTTGCTCCCAAAGCCAGTCGCATGAGTAACACAAAACACGGATTTTATCTCGCATTCATTGGAATGAGTCGCTGGGATATCAGCGGCGTAAAAGACAAACAGGAAAAACAAAAACTGTTTTAATGAAATCGGTGGACAAATCGTAGCGCTCCTAATTTAATTGTACACCAAAATGCAATCTGTATACTTCTTCAGCTGCATCTCTAGCGTAATATACATTGGTGTCATATCATACCTCAGTCCTCAGGTGACAAACCTTCAAAGTAAAATGATATGCATTACCATCAAGTACTCCGATGAGACAGTCCGATAATCTGGTTATACTTCTAACGCAATATTTCTCACTTTTCCCAGAAAGTAGTAGAATGGTCTGGTGTGACTGTTTAGAGTTGTGCCTGATTACTTGCTTCTGCCCTTCACAAAATGCTACTAAACGACCAGGCAACGCTACTCATAAAGCGCTGCTTCATGTCTCGGCCTGATGAAGATATTTGCTCGAAAATGTGTCCAAGATAAAATCAGCACACAGGACTACAATCGGCCGGTGAATCACAGGTAGTTTACCATTGAGGTGCGCATGAACCAAGCCAACATCCTGCTCGTTCAGACCTTTATTGACGGTTTGATCGAACGTCAAGGAGAATTCAACACCTTGATTGTTTGATTCTTTTCAAAGGGTGTATAGTTCAGTGCATTCGACGGTGGCATTAAACGGATGTATGTTTCAACTCACCGCCTCACTGCATTGTAGGGCCTAGTTATAACCGGCCGAAGGCATCCATTACAAATCCCCCTCCCCCAGAGAACTTACTTTAGCTGGTGAGTCGATGAAACTCCACCCATGAGCAAATCATGGGCCACATTCTCCGTGCTAAAGCTTCCGTGCCATTTTCGATTAGGCACACAGTCTAAACTCAAACAAGTGTCGTGACAACCTTCAAATCATTCAACCTGTTGATGACTGATATTTACTATCGTTGTGTGAAACCTTAGTGAACAGGAGAAGTATTTCCAGATTCCACTCACTGCGCAGATTAAAAATTAGCTTCATGCTTCCTGATATACTTCATCAACTCTGGCTAAATACAATTCTTCACTTGGTGCATCGTGTAAATAATTTTTGTCTGACAGTCTTTCCATTTTAGTTGATAAACGTACTTGGAAGTTATCACCTACGGCTGGTCCCAACACTACTTCAGTTAGTGCCAGTGTAATGCTCTTAACGTGCAATAGATTGATTGATTTACGTACTCAATTGTGCGTTGCATTCAGTGAACAGAAAGATAAGTTATAAGTTATTTATAACGCCATCGTCTATGATAAACCGTTCCCTGATTTGTCTAGTAGGAAAATGGTCGCTGTTCACAGCCGGTTGACCCGTAAAATGTACTCGTTCCGTCAGTGTTTCTGCAGGTTTCATCATAATTAGATGATTTATAAAATCACTGCCAATTGCTGGTTGTCCTATTTGATAAGCCAGAGCGATTCAGCAACGTAAATTTGACTCATAACAAGCACATACAGTATTAGGATTGTGGAGACAGGATTTCTTTGTGAATTTTGGAAGTAAAAGAACAGAGCTAACTCAACGACACATATACTGTCATAGACGTCTACAGATAAAATTGTTGATTTGAACTGCCCACCGCTCATCTTCACGCACAATACTCAGTTCGCCCAGTCAATCATACACTCGGAAGCACTAGACTCGAGTTTCGCTCTCATCAGTGGTGTATACTTACTGTCCTGTTTGGGACTTTGAACTCCGGAATCATCAAATGTTCCGAAGTCTGTGTGTCTAATTCAAAGGAGTGGAAAAATACCAAAAGAGTTTTATCTCAAGAATCCTAAAACATGCAGTACTGTGTAGTGTGGAGATGCATTAAATGTGCAACTGAGAGAACAGGTGAGATACAAATCTTCTGTATTAAAGTAATAGCATAACAAAATCATAAGCAATGGTATAAGATGAGTTTTGCAAGAGGAATAAAATAAGGCATTTCTATTTCTAGGTTCCAACAAGATGGGTGTTGCGGTTTACCTGCTTTCCAATGGCAAAACAGCCCTCAAGTCGATCTTCTAACTCTAACGTCACGATAGACCAAATGAATCTACCGTTTGTTGAAGCTACAATCTATTGAAAACGTTGGTCTCAGCCGGAGAATTAAAAATAATTCACTAAATATCAACCAGCAAACATCTAACAGTATTATAGAATACAGAAGTGCCACATCGTCGTTGTGAGGAGACAATAACCATGTGAGAAATCTTGAGGATAGAGCGATTGTGGATTCACGATTCCCTCGGAGCATCCGACTGTAAATCTGTCAGTGTTCGTACACAACTGATGTGATAACCGAAAAATACTTCATTTCAGCACATCCTTTAATCACGATGCTCTCAGGTAAATATCAAAGTGACTGAATGTATGCAATTACCCTTTTTGTTGATCACTGAACCTTCTTCGACATAGACTGTAGTCAAGTGTGGATTATGATAACAGATGGAGTTACTAAAACTCTGGAACATTGTGTTACTAGTGACATGCGATCTACTGTATCGATTTCGNTCGATTTCGCCTACTGATGTCAATCTCCAGCCATAATAACTTCCACATCAACGATATTTTCTGACCTTGTACATATATACTGACATGGAAATTCATTCACGTAGTTATAGTTTGGAATAAGCAAATCATAGTGCCTCAGTTCTCAGTCCTGTTTACTACCTGGATTTTTATTCCTTCTTAACTTAAATGGGACATCTCTTCATTGATCACTGTGCTTTGTGTTTGTGACCGACACGAGAAATCTGAATACGGAACACTTTTTCACAATAAGCTCAATCTCTCAAATGGATTCACGTAGAGCTTTCAATAACCTTGACAAACGAGCGCTACATCAGGAAGCACTGATGTGCGGCAATACACGGAATCCAAGAAGTGAGAACGTTGGCTTGAAACCCGGCTTTTCTGTGTACGAATTCCAATGGATACATTCAATAATAATTTTCGATGATTCCTAACAAGGACGAAACAGCTTCTAAGAATCCTTAGTGTGAAATGACGCCTCCATTCTGTTTGGCCAATACACTGTGACAAATCAGCCTAAATTCACTTTGTCGCTCTGGCGCGAATTATGAGAAAGAAGGTATGTGAAGTATTTTTTAAATTTCACATTCAAAACTGACTCACATGATGTATGTTAGTCTAAAAGATGTAGGTGTTCGGAAGGGGTAAATTGTAGCCGTTAGAACATGTACAGTAGGAATTATCGCGTATCAAAGTGCTTCAGCTCTGATTTACTGCTAAACTTATTCATTCAAGCTCTATCACAAACAAAAGACCGATGATTTTGAGTAGGTTCCCACACAAGTGCTCAATTTCACCCCTTGCTTATAGCAAGACAACTACGAGTAGCGTGTATTTAGCACATATATCATTTGGTTGTCCTTGAGTTGATGTGTGTGCAACAAAATTATTTTGTTTGGAGATTAGTGAATGGCATACCAACCCAGAGCCAAGGTTATTACCACAGCATTAGTACACTGACAGAAATCAATCAATAGGATCGTTTTGATGAATAGACCTGTATTAGTCAATGATAATAAATACACCGATTGGTGGAGCACTTGACGCTCCACACCACTGATTGGCCTTTCAGAATATTCATACTGGGCTTAGCCTCATCTCAACAAATCTTCGTTGCAAACAAAAGCCAAAACATCTGTTCATCAGTCATATTCCGATCACCATTCTTTTCGGAATAAAGATGCTAACATTAACCGGCTTTTTGACGTTTCTTCTACTGCTGGCTTATTGTAGCGGTGAGTGCCTTTTGAAGTAACTAGCACGGATCGGTTTCAAAATGAAGATACTCTGTCCCACGTAGAATGTTGCACTAATGCAGTTGTTATCGTTCATGCAAATACGAATTGATAGATTTATGCTTAGAGCAACTATTGTTTAACAAAGCTTTTTACGCTTAAGTATCACTTTTCTTCCATCTCAAGCGCGTATTTCTCTACAATAATTCAGAATTCATTCAAAAATTGTTGACTAATTTTATACCTGTATTTACACTGACATATGTACAATTTACCAATGTTTTACTATCTGCAGGCACATATTTCCCATGTAAGTTTCGAACCATTTTCACGAGCCCTAACATATTAGGCTCTTCTTCCGGAAAATCCATCTACACTAAATCATCTTGACTTCGCTTGACCACGTACAAATAAAGGAATGTTTAAAGAACATGATAGTCCATTCAAACACGTACGCTTACAGTTCCGTCTGTTGTTCGTTTCCAACCTAACTTGGGAATCGTTACTTCAGGTTCCACGGACCGGCTTCTGTCAGCTGTTTGCAGTGGTTTAAGCATTCTCGAGCATTTGACGAATCAAAACTCTAAGGGTGATCCAGAACGCTTTTGCTCCGACCAATAGCGAGTAGTCTCATAATTAAGTGATGAGCAACTGGGAAAGTGGACGATCCGTATATAGTGCAATTATATCCAGTTTGCCTTATCAAAACCGACTTGGTCGGTTTCCAGTTTGATTGCATAGTGTGTGGCGGAAACTGTTGATTTTGAACAATTTAAGCCATTAATAACAGATCAATCACAACTTTCAGTCACAAATGACATAACGAGATACTCAATTCCCAACTTGTTACGCTCATGGATAAACTTAACAGAGATGTCAGCTCCCTTACAAGAGAATGAGTGATTCAATCCCATCTCTACTGAATGATGTTTCTGATTATTGCGGCTTCCAGGTTTGTAGCTGATTTCAGCTCCATGGATGAAAAAATAGTTTCCACTTTTAAGCTATTTTTATTGATTAACTGATAAGAAATATTCATTCATTAAGTTTGCCATGAATCATTGGCAATTTGTTAGGTGACGACCATTCCTAATATGAGTTATTGCAAGGGATGCATTTTTAATTTTTCTTTTTTCAACTCTTCTGAATTTGTGCATTGGAATACTGTTGCCAAGATGTTGCAAATGGCAAAACTATTGTTTCGATGTTCATATATTTGAAGTTTGATCTCCATGTCACATTCCTCGATTATTAGTTATACAAGTTCGAGAAAATCGTAATGTGAACATCCTTTGTGGGTCGGCAATACAGGCAACAGGTCAACGATGGTTTCACAATGATATCGAGTACTTTGAAATCTATGGACAAACGGCCATAACCAGTGATTATGTGAGTTTCTAAGAGCTGTTTCCATATTGTTATCTGGGCAAGCGTCATGCTGTTCTGACGTTTTATAATCATTTAAACTACTTCCATGGGTAATAAACAAATTTAACTCGTACGATAAAGAGAGCAATGATGCCTATAGTTGTTAAAAACCGTATTGCTTTGATTCTGTAGAACATCCTAGTCTGTATAGAAGAAAATACTGCTTTTGCTGTTTCATCTAAACTGGAGAATATTGCGACTACATTTAAGTCAGAACTACCTAAAACCACTAAATAGTATTCTGCTGCATTGTATCTCCTATCTTTAGCTTTGAAATTGAAGTGCTTAACTTTCTCCTTTCCTGAAACAATTAATTATTTCATTTCTTCAATTAGATATATCGTTTAAAACACCAGACATTTCATTTCCAGTAACTCCGTGTTGCGCATCATTAGCAAACTTTCGGAATATTCAAACTATTGAAACAAACACATTATGCCTGCGTACTAGATGAACGGTAACAAACACGTAACCAAACTCACGGTTGCCAGAATGCTTACAATCATTCAAGTACTACTAATCAGGTCCTAATCATAGATAACCTCTGAACTTGGCTTGCTCCGATTACACGTGTATGCTCCGATACATCTGCTTGCATGCAGATTAAGTATGCATACGTGGATTTCTCAAAAACGGTTACCTGAAAATAATTTTCCCATTTATGCTATGAAAGTCTGAGACGAAACTCGTTTTGACATCAAAAACTATTTGAGTTAAACATTGTCACTTTAGGTAGTAAACAATATTTCGCTTCAATTCGATTAATTACAATGATCGTTAATACAAGGGTATAATCACCTCCAGATTGTGATCGGTAGCCGAACGGATAAGACCACCAACATACCACCACCTCTTAAACAGTTCTTTTAAATTGGAATAAAATGGCTGCCCTTTGCTAACCTTCTAAATGCAGGAAGGTTTGATTTTAAAATTAGTTATTGGAGAGAAGAAGGTTCCATTCTGTCCCGTGATTCAAATAATCACCGAGAGGGCGGTAGCAAAATAATCCATTTTTCTCGTCACGTGAATCCCACTTCTTTAGTAGTTAAACAAGTGACCTTATATTAAAATTTCAGTTAACTTCATCACCCGGGTTTATTTTTTCCGGGAGAAAATATACTCAGTCTCGTTTTATTTTGTATACATTCACCACATGTTGTGAATCAATAATTATAGAAGAAGACGGAAAGTTTATCTACCTTTTTAGACCCATCTATCTAATTTAACCCTGAAAATTTGTATTCTATTTGCGCGCGCATTCCCTAACTTGGATGGATTTATCAGACGTTTAGATCAGATTTCCGTTATTTACATGAAAGTGATCAAGCTGTAGACGTTTCTCTAGGAAACCGCTCTCATTAAACACATTTGTTGATACTATTCTCACTACTACCACCGCTGTTTGTGCTACTGGCACCCTCATATAATAATCACTGCATTGTTCTGCAGAAGAACATGACCCTGTGGAAAGCCATAATAGACATAATTCGTATGTGTTTAACCTACCATTTCAAGTCCTATTAGTGAAAGTTGTGCTTGGTTAACGATACTCTCTTCAATGAATTTATTCGATGACGTTTGCAATCTTATCAATTTCACCATGAAGTCCCTATGGAATATTCGATCATATAACGCTGGAAGGTACACCTGTAAATGGAATACCAATACAAATGTTTCAAAAGCGTTTCTGGTAGTAGTGCGTAAGTCATCGGACTTCCACTTAAGTAAACTTCTACTTCGTTCTCTCTACTCCTTTTACGAATGCTTCTTGTTACTTTTTATCCGTTCTATGTGACATTTGACAGTTTGATTGATTTAGGCTTCAATGGGACTGCAAACCGAATATTGTTATGAATATGCATCAATTTCATCACCTATTTTGAGTCACTTCGTGGGAAGGGCCACCTGAAGTTGTGGTAGAAAAGCTGTTTTTGATCTGACAAATCTATGTACTTGGAAATGATTCTTTTATAAAAAATGACCGAACATTTGATAAACACGACTTGTTAGTGGATCCGTTCCGACATTCAATGTCGACAAACTAAACTGCAAAGATTCCAGGCGACATCCAATCGCTGTTCAATTGAGCTACACGTGAGCTGGCCAAGAAATCGAATCCTCAGATTACCCTAGCACTCTAGTTTGTATTTTAAAGTGTCTATCTTTTGACTACTAAAGTATCTTATTTCAGAATGCATTTATGCAATGGTCATCACTCGTAGTTTGATCTATCGTATGACCTTATAATTTTTCTGATCACCTTCATCAACGTAACCGAACAGCTGATGAGCCTCTCGATGGATTGAAATATGAATACAAAGCTATCACATCAAAACCCTTGGAACTGGATTGTTGCGTTCAATCAGAAATCGAAGCATATTCCATCGAATGGCAAAAAGTAGACGGTTCTACATTTACAGGGAACGGTGAAAAGTATGAGTTGAAAGATGAAAGTAGAAGGCTGGTAAGTTAATTCCTCCATTTTAGTTAATATCACACAAGCCGTAGTAAGAGAAAATCTATTTCCGATCCTGCTTGCCTGGCACATCGTATCATTATAAACCTTTTGGCATCTTTCTATACTGCCAGTGATTTCTCGTACCGAAAACTACACTTTTCGTACTTCTTTAAACATTTCAATGAACACTTATTCCAAACAAGTTGTCTAACGACCATTATCAATATATATGCATAATTACTACGGTATATCTGGAAACGGTTTACATTTTATTTTAAACGCGGTTCATTGTTGAGCAAAAGACATAGATCCCTATTCAAATAAAAAACCTTATTCCCCTGCTCTTTATGCACGGACGTCAAATGCTTTCGTAATTAAGCCACTTGAAAGAAACATAACAATGCAAGACACGTTCTGTAAATAGAAAATTCCAATGTTTTAATCAGTTGTTGATTTGGTAATTGATCTTTCTAAACAAAAGTATAGAATCAGATCACAGTAGCTATTTTGATTTCAGTATGGTAACTAATCGAAAATGTTGGGGGGAGGGAGTGCACAGAGTGACAGATTACATGTTGCGTTTACAATGCCATTTACCCAGAATCGACGTTTTCCAAACAAGAACTCATTCAAGACGTTTCTAGAAATAATGAACGTTCTAAGTCCTGACAGGGACACAAAAAGCACGCACTGAACACGTGTCCCAAACAGGATGAAACAGCTGTCTAGTGCTCTTTGTCGGTTATCGCAAACATTTCCATCGTCATCTTTTGTTTTTAGATTATCAAAGAATTCGTTGAGGCTGACGCTGGTTACTACAAGTGTATAATTAATTACCTATCTGGCCCAATCAATCGGTACTTTTTGGTCACTTTGGATGCATCCGTCACCACACAACCGTTCTGTGAAAACCCATTATTGGCAGAACATTCGGTCACAGAGAGTAAGTCTTTCTCTTGAACAGTGGTCCTCAAAATGCTTGAGCCTAATTCCCTTTACCTGAACGAGATTGGTAAACCGATCGATGTTAGCCCAGCATATTTGCACCCTGTTCAAGCCAGGTTCTTTCAGGTACGCTCAGCTACAAACAGAACTAGCTTTGTATTTGCGCGTTTAACAGTCAACCAAGCTGATACATGTTACTACAAATTGTAAACGTCTGTATGTCAAGATCTGTAACTTCATCACACTAACCACTCTGAAACTATGAAACCTTTTCATTGGGAATTGGTTGAAAAAATGCGTTTGAAGGGGTTAATAACTAAATTTTATCATTGCGTTTTTATTTTCAGACACCTTAAAAGGCTTGTTCTGTTATTCTGCCGTGTAAATTGAAAACATATTCAATCCATGTACAAAAAAGCTACCAATTTAAGAACACCGGAGAAATTTTGACATAAAAATAAAATAGTAGGATGCATGGTTAATTCTGTTTATTATACTTTTTATTATTTTGAACATCTGTGATTTGTTTTCTTTATTCAGTTCATTTAAGTGCAGCTTGAAAACATTATTGGATTCTACTTGATTTGATTGTTAATTTGTTCCCACTCCCTATCCATCCCAACCCCTGGGTAAACAAACTACCTTATAAATTAAAACTCAATACCTTATAATCATTGTTCTATTTCGGTTTATATGAATATCAAAGCATCTAACATGTGTCCACAAGAATCTTCTTGCTGAAATTCGTAAAATTCCATCGCTTACTGGTTGTACCGCTCAAATTAAATTACCGCCTACTGACTTCTCTGGTCTTGCCCAATGTCTGGTAACCAGTGTCCATGTCCGATTGTCCTTTCTGGAAAAAATATCATACGTTTTCACGCTTGTATTCACTTTCTCACCATCTGCGTTGTCAGTTGATGCTAAAATGATTTCCTAATCCTTTTCCATCATTTAAATTAGCATCCATCGAACTAGTTGGAACTGCAAAGCACAGAGATCGACTAATAACTTATCAGCCCGGAATGAATGAACTGCAGTCAGAGGAGCACCAAGCGCTAACCCAAACAATCTGCTCATCAGTAAGCCATTGCTGGAAAGCACATGATAAATGGGTCTTGTGCTGGATTTATCATACTTCGTATCTAAACCGCGCTGAATAATAACTTCCGATTTGTAACCACTGTGACTACTTACAGATTAACTTTGCAAGAAGAGATACCGAAATGAAAGGATACTTCGACATTGGCTGTAAATTACTTCAGATCAATCCCCTCACGAACGAAGTGGTTACTCGTCTTCAACTTAATAGTTTGCATATGGAATATTTGGGCATAAACAAAGATGCAAAACCGCTGGAATCATTTGTGACATCGATGCTTTTCAATCCACCTCAGTCAAAAACTAAGTACAGCTTCCAGATCCGCTCCGCAGGTTCATCCAGTTCTCTGAATAAATTTACGTGCATTTATATGTTTTGATTTGTTTATTTTATTATAAGGAAATACAAACAAACAAACAGGTATTTCAATAATGAAAGATTTTTGTCGTCAAACTCTTCGAGAAAGATCACGTTCAAGCGTGATTATTTTCCAAATCAGTTATGCTATCCGCAACAAATCGTTTTCTCCCATTCGATCAACAGATTTTCGTAAACCTTGCAGTAACCAATTAATTTCAAACATTTGAATGCCGTGATAAAATTTTGCCCATATTATTGGATGAACTTGAAAATATGCTGTGGTATTCCTCACGAAAGCTTCACTCTCTTCACTAAAATATCATGTTTTTATAAGTATCAAACATTTTTGACAGGAAACAAGCTTTTCGGTGGTAATTTGAACCACATACACCGGAGTTTCATGAATAATGACCAACTCCCCTTAGAAGTAACTACAAGTATTTCATTTTTCAATAAGAGATGTGAATTTGCATGAGCAATACAAGAGAAGAATTATGGTATCAGGAAATCGTTGAGCAATCCCGAGAACATATAACCGATTAGGTGGTATTGATGATCAGTGTAATAATCCAGAGAATAATAATTTCACCGCCATCGGTCGATTATTTTTCTCCACCACGAGCTTCTTTTAGTCTTTGGTTTTACCGCTGCGTTTTTCCGTTTTTCGTTAGCTTCACTAGCTATTCTTTAAAGAACCCCCAGATTATTTTCAAAGGTTACCGTTGTGATAAAAGATGTAAGCACAGTAGTACTGTATCACTATGATCAAGACACATTCTTACTCTGTTCTTTATTACCTATATGGTATATCACGGAAGGAGAGGACTCTTTCACAGCTATAATTAGGATTTGAGCATTATACGTATACAAAAATTGTTAGCACAGCGAATTATCAATTAAAGCGTACGGCGCATACTGACCGTTATACTTGTGATTTATTTTAGAAAACGGTGCAGACGGTAAGCCAGCCGACGATTTCTGTTTTTCTATTGAGTCTTAATAGTTTGCTGGCACTTTCACTTGATCTTTTCGATAAGCAAAAGCGATAAATCCGGTCATTATTCAACACAATGAGCTCGTATCGGGGTTAAATAAAATGTACGCTTGGTATTGAGTGTGCGTGTGCGAAACTCTCATGCTCACGTGCTCCTGGAAAAACTTTTTCGAAAAATAAGCCGAATTTTTCCGTGTAAAGTGCAAATCAAACCTGAACTGAAAAACTGGGAAGTACTGGACAACTATTTTGGCCTAGTTGGTTCTCATCATCAGTGCAAATGCATCAAATATATCCACTAAACGATCCGAGCAAATCCTCCACCACTGTCTTATAAGGTTTAGAACTTTTCCAAGAGAGTCATAACCCGGCTAGGCTAGTGCTGAGTTGAGCTAGGTGTGTTGCTTGTAACGGGCCTGAAAAGTTTCTATTCTGTATTTTCGTGTGAAGGATGGTAACTAAAAAGCTGTCTTGTCATCTTCCCGATATCTGAGAAAGTAGTATGATTGCATCTCGTCTATGAGATCCCGGGTTCGCTTCCTAGTTGATGGATTATCCCAGCTGAAGAGATCCAACCAGGTCAAAACAGCTGTCCTGTGCTTCCCAGCTTTTCAGTTTACGCTTCATTTGCTCTCTCTTTTTGCGCGACTAATGCAACTAAATAATTGAATCAAATCCTCCATCACTATCATGTTTGAAATAAATTACCGGATATATTTTCATCTCATTTGAGTTTACTGTAAGCGCCCGACTAATAGAGAACGATTCCGCCCCCGACATGTAATTAACAGTGACTGTATTGGATGGTTTGCTTTTTTCATAATAGATTACGAAACAGTTTTCATTGAAGGATTTCTTTATATTGCTGATGTGAAGATTGAGTTCAATGAGGACTATCCCACAAGAAAAAATTATCTGTTTAGGAAGCTGACCAAAGGAATTTGCTCTATGGTAAGTGATTTTACATCATCACTTTGTTCGAAATTGAAGAGATCAATTCGTTTATCGATAGAACTTTTCATAGCTTTGAATTTCATATTACCCATAATCTGTTTAGTATGTGCTTATTACGCTACAAACTCCTTGGGGGGGGGGGAGATAACAATGAACGTTGATCACTTGGCTTGTGGTTTTATTCTAAATTGTTTTCTATCCTTCGATGAATTTACCCTCAAGGGTTTAATTATGCGACTGACCATTTTTTTGAGAATGAAAGAACATTCAACTGCTCGAAACTCACTTGTGCAATTGACGTCCAGAGGTATAATGTGACTGAAAATCCCTGGGAGAGCGCACTCACTCATTTGCGCAACTGTGTGCCTTATTTCAGATTGAAGATTCTCGTACGAGCCACTCTGTGTTGCGTGATTGTCCAGTCACGTGTTATGGCTACGGTGTAGACATACAATCCATGTTTGTGATTCAGCTAGCAGTGAAACATGCAGATTTGCGCAAGATAAATATTGCTGCGGACGAGCAAACTGTATGGAACACGTTTGGATATTGGCTTGCTGGAATGAAAACACAAGTTGGTTCTCTCAAATACGTGCCTAAATTAATAAAACCAGGTGAGTTGAAACTTTTTAAAATAAGATGAGATGAACGATGTTGCGAAACAAAGTGCTGTCAAATATTGTGCCTATTCATTTGTTCGAGTCAACACAGTTACGTTTTAACAACTAATATCAACTATTGGAGTTGAACTGTCATTGGGTATTGTTAAGTGATCTGACCGATGGATTGCTTACTTTTTTCTTATACCTAGAAAGTAAACTGACGTACATTCGATTGCTGATTTGGCCTCCTTAGGATCAGATGGTCCATATGGTACAGACGGTTTGTAGGCTATCCGTGTGTGTTTAGAAACAATCTTGAATGAACCAACAGTTATCAACATTTATTTAAACTGATCAGGAAAAAGGGAAGAACGGCATGAATCACCATTTACAATAACATTTATCAAGCATCGGTTAATTGCTTAGCTTTGACCACTTCTGAAAATGTGTTGCTCTGAATCACTATGACCTCACTTGTAAATTCAATTGCTCAGTGAGCTTAATTCTTTGAGTGTGATGACTTCAGGCTTGACTGTTAGTACGGAAGGTTAGACAGTGATCCTTCGATGAAATTTGGTTTCTCCAAGTACGTATGATTCATAGTTGCTATAATTATGCGGAAATAAAAACGGGCTTACATTTATTTAAAAAGTGAGTACTAAAACATCTTTTGTGCTGCTCACCTCGATTCGTTCACTGGTATGTTTTTAGTCGTGCGTGCCACTGGAACAGTTTATGAAAAAGATGAAGTTGTGCGATACGGTGAAAACATTGTTGACAAAACATTGAAGGAAAGAACAGATCTGGAGCAGAAGTTGAAAACCAAAGTAAGCGCATTTGTTCAATATCTGGAAACAGAATCAAAACTGATTGCCTTAGGTTACCTCATGATAGCTAGGGTCTTTTGAAATGAACAACTTCAAAGCAAACAACTGTATCTTTTTATAAATAAATAATTAGCATTCTACAGGAACTTTGATTGTTTTTAGTGTCACTCTGTTATGATTTCTTACTTTCTATTCATTAAAATGGTATTTGATTGCCATGAGAAGTGTTATGTCAGGAAACAAAGCAGCAGTGAATTACTGTTTACCCTTTGCTGCAACTGAAAATAGGCATATGGATTTGTAGTATGTAAACCAGAAACGTTTCCTACCGAAACTTTTATCAAATGTTTAACGGAGCAATTGGCTGAGAGTAATTATTTTTATTACATGCCTTAGCAATATGATTTTCGCTCTCTCACTATGTTATACTTTATTTATTTTCCTGTAGAATATGCCATTTCATTACCATAGAACTGTTTATGTAATGGACGAAAAACCATACGGATATACGGTTTTCTCATCGCTGAAACTGATCAGAAGCCGGTGCCTTTTGTAGAACTCAAATTAGATTGTTAGTAAAGTAATTGGTTGGGTGTATTCACCGATATTTTGTACCCTAATAGTATGAATCTCGCTCCCAATCCCAAAGCATGCGCTTCAAGCCACAGTAGTAACAAGGTCCCACATAGCACTTGTGTACCAGTCATTTAATAGAAACGTTTATCTTCAAAAAAGATTTCAAACATATTTCGAAATATATTCACAATCAGGTAAAAACAATTTCAGGCGAAGGGTTATCTTCAATTACTCAGTTATATCGTAGCACTTTATAAGAGAGGATAAAACCTAGGTGTTGGGAGGATAACAGTAAAATATGATGAACCCATCCATATGTGCACGTGCTTGTTGCACACCACATTCTCACATCTGTGCTTTCTCGGTTTTTAGTTATCTCAAGTTCATCGTGTGACTCATTTCTGAGGGATTGTTATTGTCATGTGTAAACGTATATGTATGTGAACAGGGGTGTGTGTGGCTCGTGAACCCAGGGGACATGTCAACTTTGTATTATACGCTTCCGAGCAAATAGCTCTGTGATCAAATGTTTAATAGAGATCGCTTCGGCTATTGCCAACGTACACATTCTGACATACTGACCGGTTGGAGGGAAACTGGTAAATAATGCGGAATGCTACAGCTGGTTTTACACGATGGCCGGTGTCTACCATGTGGGTGAGAATTACACTCGAGACAGATCTGGAACCACCTTGAGTCAGCCAGTTCGGATGGATTTCTGCCATGCGGATAGATAAACCCTAGGTTTTATTCGCTCAAATAAGCTGTAACTACGTGATTGAGTTAAAAAACATGTCTTCACCTGAAATTGGGCCCTTGATTTCGAACATAGTTTGTTGGTTCACTGAAACTGGGAATCAATTTGTATTCGCTTGAAATTTGCCTTCTTACTATTTAAAACAGGTCAATTGGTTCGATGCAGAAACAATGAATGTCGTTGTGAATAAATCCATTCCATCCAAGTCGCAGTTGGTCGTCACTTTATTCAATTCTGCGAAAGAAATGGAGAGAAGAGGTATGGTTCTCGTGCGGAACTATCATAACCGAGTCAGCCAAGTAAAACCTCGTGAAGCCAGTGATTTTCGATTTTCGGTTCATACGTTCGAGAGAGGTAAGCAGCATACACTGATCTGTCTTACCTTGAGCAATGAAAAATCACTCGAAATTTTGGATAAAAGCATTTTGTAATGTGAATTGGAAAATTAAGTATCACAACCTAACTGTTTTTATTATTTGTGAGTAAATGTGTATAGAGTGCTACTACCAAGTTTTTGTGAAAACGGATATTTTCTGACCTAAATGATAGTATCATTTATAAAAATGTTCTTTCTTGTTTTACACTCCACCATAGAATCCGTCGCTTCAGCCACAGGTGTGTTCTTTCTCAAACATATATAGTTCACACAATATGCATGCAATACAACTGTTTACTCTGAATACACAAACTCGGGTTCCGTTTTCAGAGGACTTTTCCCAGTTGGTGGTTTTACTCGGTCAATTTCATAAACACTCACTCCCGACGGCTCACCATTGTTTTGATGCTGCAGGAGTTTGGCACCTTGTGATAGTCGATAGGATACAGCAAACGTTTGAGTGCATTTCCTCGAATTCAGGGATGCGGTCGTCTATCGATAATGAGAATATCAGTGAGTACGGGAAATCAGCCGTATGTTAGTTTGAATAGAAAATGCCTGCATTTGGTTTCTGGTGAGCCGAACCACGGGAGCTGTGAGCGCATGATATGGTTTCAATAACTCAAATGTAAAATGGTCAATGAAACACACAAAGAGCACAGTGAAAACATTGAATTAAATATCGTAGCACAGAGGCCAATTCCATGACTGGTAGTCAAATTACGCACAACGATCTTCGGTGACGTCTTGCTTCGTTTTGCATCGAATGCCATTCCTAACCAATCCATAGTCACCTGCTGCGTTCTTTGTGAAACCAACATAGTAACTCAGAATATAATAATAATAATAATCTAATAATTTGTTGCTGGAATTTGATTGTCATAGGGAAAGTTCAATGGATATTGTTTTTTGATCACGCCTACTCTTTCGGTGCCCACGTGATCTTGGGGTTACTTAGATTTTTCTCGTAATTTGCTCATTTTATGCAATCAGTTCATCCGTTTACCCGCTTGTGTTTCAATATTGTCCAATCGATAGTAACATACACTGAGCATCATTTAACATGATCACATTTGAAAAAGGTGGGTGGGTATTTTCATATGAACTTACAAACCAAGAGTGATCCTTGATGCTTCTATCCGAGATCTGCGTCAGTTTTTATCGACTCAACAGTGAGAATCTGTAGCACGGCAAGTGGAATGAATGTCCCACAAACAAGTCTGGTATTCACGTGATGCGTGGTCTGATGTGAAAAGCAAGCAAATTGCAGCTGAGCTTGCAATAGTCCTTATTTCATGATATTTTCTGTTCCAATGAGACCTCCCGCGCTTTCATTGTATGATGAAATTCATTTCAGATGCCAAACTACTGTCAAAATTCAGTAAGCTAATACGCAAACATTTATGTCCTAAATTTTATGATATAATTTCCTGGTTTGTCAACTCCTGATAGAACTTTATAATTTGTTCTAATAAGTTATCTTAATCAGCTTGTGTTAAGAGTGCCGGGTTCCAACCCAAACGTACTTTCCTCGAGTCCATATATATAGAAACTGTAAACACTGCTGAAAGCCCTAACAAAATTGATTAAAGAAAACTGGGTTGAGAAATTTCACGGTGCGTTCGAATTATATCGCCGTTTACTGTATAAAAAAGAGAATTATGCATTACCTTACAGTGATCCATAAACACGATGATTTGGGAAAATATTCGAACGTATTATCCTGACAGAGCCATGGTTAAGTAAGGTAAATGAGGCTATAACCTCTGCAAACCATAGATATCGTAGGGTTTCGGTCAAAAGTGTAGTTTTTGGATGATTTATCACAATCAACCTGGTGGTGCGTTGCTAAATCCTACTTCGCAATTGATGGCGCTGGAGTTCTGCAAACTCAATTTGTGTTCGACTGTAGTTGCGTTAACCTCACGTTGTGGAATATGCTCGGTCACTCGGTTACATATCTTTGTATGCATTCTTCCAAAGCAGGTAATTCTGCAATGAGATTCCAATTGACGGATAAAGCTTCTCTCCGTGGGTAAGGAAAGATAAGTATTGATCGGTATCCTCAGTATTCGGAGTGTGTTGTGAAGCGAGAATGAGTAGGCATTTGAGAAAACACGAAATAGCGAACAAATTCGTTTCGATAACATCCTCATCTGGCTAATACAGTTATATAAATAGGTAATAGACATATCACATTTGCCTAACGTTTGACGTGTGTGGGCGTATTGGACTGGTAAATAAAATTACTCGATTGTCTGTGGGAAAAGGGATCAAGGTAGTAAAGAAAACATGAGGAAAGGCCGAATCAAGTCGATTGCTAAACGTTTGACATGAGTCATCACCCTCATGTGGTAGCTCCAGTTTGACTGCCAGCTTCTCTACGATTGTTACCGAGATTTTTATGTACATTTGCCAAATGCCTACGAAAAAGTTCATAAGGATAGCCAATGAATCTTAGTGCACAGTTATCATGTTGTACCTTAAATTGAGGGCTCTCATATTTACATGTAATTTCCACGGTACCATGACTGATAAATCCCCTTTTGTACTAGCTTCGAGTTGCGATGCCGCGAAATGATTGTGGAAATATATCGTGTAATACGGAACTCTTTGTTCGTTTTTTGATATTTTTGTCGATGAAGAAATGTTTCAAGAACTAAAACAGTTGTTCCATCAACTCTATACTCCAGTAAAAAAGTGCTTTCACACATGCCTTTGTAACACATGCTGAGCATATTATCACACTTTTGACGTCTCTCCCTCCCTCTCACCGTATGGCAGCTCTGCTTCACAAAATCGCGGTCAGTTCCGCACTGGTTGAACAAGTGCAGGGTTATGAAAATCTGTGCAGTAAAGTGAGTGTGTTTCTATTAGCTTATATCTCCCTATGTAATTATCGATACTCATGAACCCTCGTGAACTTTATCACTCGTCCATATACAGAGAGCAATAACCTGACTGGGCTTTGTTCAACTTATTGGTCACATTCACGTCCACGATGTGCTCCTGTGAAATCACGATGAATGTCATATCTGCTACTCTTGTATTTTTGCACTTTGAGTTGTTTTGTTTTCGTAGGTTACCGTAGAGTACCGATACAATTCAAGCGCTCTGGAGAATGAATGTAAAGTGCTCCATCACCACTCCGTTGATTCGTCCGTCACATTACGTTTGAGGTTGAATCAGGAGGAAGTTTTACCACAAAACCCGGTAGACTACACAATCAAATGGACAGAATGAGGTGAGCTAGTATTTCACACCAGTCGTTGTAAAGTTTATACACGTAATTTTGATTTAACGCCTTCATTGTTTGGGCTTCTTACGACTGGTATAATATTAGTAAACAAACAGGTATATTTTTGGAGTTTTATCAAATGGTAGAATTCAACAAATTTTATAAGCAGACTGAACACCATCCTCCCATATTAACGTCCTGTTGGGGATTAGGACTCCACACTCATCGTACGCAAGGCGTGCGTGCTATCAACGTCCCGTTCAGCTCTAAACGGTTCTGACCAGTATTGCTATTTCAAGTTTGTTCGTATGTCGTCTCCATTTGGGTAAGTCAGCTTATTATAACCAGCTGCAGCTCAAGGGGACACAATTGATCATCTGTTGACTGCAATGGAAAGTCTCACACCAAACCAGATCTTCCAGGAAGGTTAAGGCTGACTTGCCACAGTAACCTTCAAATGAACATTACTTATCCCACAAAACTTATCACAAGCAACGAATAAAGAGGTAACAACGATATGATGTAATAGTAGTAATTGGTATGCTGGAGTCACAGGCTGAGGGAGTAATAAATAAATGAATTTTACTTATGGAGGTTATTTCGTCAAAGTATAGGTCAATTACCATGGTAGAACGAGTATTCCTGCAACCTTCTCAGCTCGCTTCCAATATTTCGAGAAATTCATTTCGTTTGAGAAAATAATATTTTCCTTCATTTTCATGCACAATGTGTTAGAAAAAAGTCACCAACCTCATATTTATGCGTATACTCGATATTTGTGTAATCTAGAAATCATTATATCGGATTCACAAGCAACTGCGAGTGAAATATATTTTCCCATATAAAATCATGGCGTATAATATTTTATTTATACAACCGTAACCATACGTCCATTTAAGTAAATATAATAATTATGGTTCATCATTATAATACCTTTTTAACTACGGAGAACGTCATGCTCCACACTAGATTTGCCCAACTAAAGAGAACTAATACAAGTTGATACTAGAAAATTTTGTTATTCTCGATTCATAGACGTGTACACAGCTGAGGTGCCAAAATACTGTGTTGCGTAACAACCTGATTAGAAATTAAAGGAAGGTCAATCGGAAATGCTTCGATTTAGGTCGCATCCTTCTAAAGTAAGAAAAATTAGTTTGGAGTACAGTATGCATTGTTCTTTGCAATCAACTGAAATTTTCTTCTTGGGAATAAAAATGGTACAAACTAATATTTCATATTTCATGAATGTTATTTTGCAGATATCGAAATCTCCTTAGAATCGTGGAACATTTCAAATAAACCGCGCTTCAAATCTTTGTCTTAAAGTTGCATCACGCTCTCATCAATTGATGAACTCCCATGTGTGACTTATTTTACTAATTATGTTGTTGCTAATTATGTTTCGCTCATTGTAGCTCATTAGTGTTCTCTTGCTTGCAAGTTCATTTGACCAAAAATTTGTTTTTTCTCTGCCAAATGAACCTTTATTTTACCGAAATACCATTGTCCATTCACGAAATTGAAGTTGAGTCAGAATATATAATGTTAAATTCAACTTTAATTCTGTTGTTGGTATTGGAACTTTAATGATTATGGTAGGACTTTTGAACGTCCTTGTTTGCGGGAAAATAGGTTGAATTTTTAAATATGCATTTTGAGGTGAGTCGCAGCATTCAAGGGTGAAATTCGTACCACGCATTCTGGCATCAAGTTTGTGAGTGACTGCACACTTTTATTCCCTTTACTCCAACCAATTACGTTACTAATGCCTTCAGTGACTGTTTTTAAATGCATTCATCAGTTTAAACCCGCTACTATAATTTGCAGAATGTTTCAACGCGCAAAGGTTTGAGCATACAAGTTTCCATACAACTGGGTTAGATATGCCAGCGCCGTAAACAGATTTCTATCTCCTAATCTTCCCAATAAACACAGAAAATAACAAAGGTTTTAAAACAGATTTGTCAGATTAGCTTTAGCTCCAACGAAAGTTCCAGCATTCAATATTGTCAATTCCTTTTGGAAGTAAGTTCATCAAAACTCTTAACCTGTTTGCACGACCACAATACAAATGACAATTGAGCTGACCGTCTTGGAATAAGTCACATCTGATTTTTTTTGTCATCCGTGAAAGAAGAGTGAAGCAAGAGTACGTGTCGAAGCTGAGAGAGTTCGGATGAAACGGGAAGATTGAATGCTTTTAGACAGCATTACTTTCAGCTACTCAGCTACTCTGGAATAATGGGAAAGGCAAGGTAATTCAATTACCATAAAGGTGCCAGAAGCTCAGTTAGAAAAAGCAGCTCCAAATTTGAAAAATGCAGCGAATATACGGTCCAGGCCAGCAGCAGAAGAGGCAACAGGAACACCTAATTATTTAACTACAGGAAAATTTGACTAAGAATCCACATTGTGAATATTGCGTGATGAGTAGAAAGGAATGGGCAAATGAACGCAAGTTGGAGGGTCATCATCAACATTCTGCTAAAATACCGCTTTCCCTCCGTCCACAGACATACTTTGTCATTTCTCCACCAATCCTCTTCCTGTTTTCCTTGTTTTTCAGTTTAATCGATGAAAACAAGAGCCGTTTATTGCTAATTAATTGAATTCCTTCTGCATCTTGATTCAGCCACATAAACGCCAATACCTGACAGCAGGACACCAGTTCGATTCAGCATGGTCATTCCGACCAATGAGGTTATGGTCATCTTGATCACAAGAGTGCAACACAACACATGTGCACCTGCGTATTTTCGTTCAGACAGGAAGGGCAAAGCTTATAGATTCTTAGGATGATACACAATAAGAACTCTTCTTGAATGGCTAGGGAAGAGTGATGCTGTTTGCGGAGAGGCTGAATAAAGTAGCAACATGTTTTACATAACTGATTGAGGATCAAAACCAACTTTCACTATTATTGTGCTTCGTTCTTGATACCATGGATGGAGGGGACTCATTCATCTGCATTTAGCATATGACTTTTCGTCCTGTCATTAATTACAAGTAACCTTGTAAAATAAATTAATGTGCATACATGCAAACACTCAACAGAACAATTTAACCGTTTTTAATTCAGTTTTTTGCTTGTATATTTTTCCATGTGCATTGCTCGGCTGTTTTTCTATTTGCAACGCTGGTCAATTACCAATTTGGATGATTAGAATGTATAAGATCAGAGGATAGCGATTGCAAAGATTTCAGCGGATTATTCCGTACTCAATCTGTCTCTATGCGAATGATTCTCAATGGTGAAATGCTCTACGTATAGCTGCACACGAACTGCACGCGTTCACAAGCTGTTCACCCCATACAAACCAACTTGCGTCAAACAAACGATGCAGTGGCAGTGTTCTCAGTACGTTCACTATCAGTTCTCTTCAGGTCTCAGGAATTCCAGATTGCACAATTTCGTGTAAAAGTGACTATATTTGCATGACTTTGAAAAAGTGATTTTAATGGGAATCACATTCCAAATCATTTTGCACAATTAGGTGACCTCCAGAGTACTCTGAATCTAGCAGTTTTGCTTTTGTAACAACAAAACAAAACAACCTGGTGTTGTGATACATACCGGTGGTATCCTGAGTTATAGTCCTTTGTTTCCCTTCATTCTCTGTATGGGTTTATACCTCTACGGATTGTGCGTACGTGCGCAAAGCCACTCACGGACGATCGCACACGTTTGTAGAAACAAATGGAAATTGTAGGGGCAATGAAATATAAGCAATTTTTTCTGGCAAATGCACTAGATGTAATATGATGTTAGAACCGCTATTCCATTCTAATCAACGGAATGTTTTAAAATTCGACTGCCATCGATTCAGATGATTTTGCTTTTTAGTGATAATGGTCTACTGGAAATTCTCATACTGCGACCAATCGCTGGTTGTTTTCTAAAGCTTGCCATAGCGGCGCCTGATAATTATTCGGAAGACGCCCCATAAGAGGCTTTGCTGAAAAACAATCTGCCTCACCCACACATTATTAAATGCACGCACCCTGCATACACATGCACTTCGAGAAAAGTAGATCAAACAAAAGCGCAAAACTATCCGTTACGAATCTAGAAAACGTGTGCGAATTTGATTCACAATAACGCTGTTGTAACTCCATGACAGTTTGACCTCTGGTGAAAACGTTCACCAACGCTCGCCATAGTGCTCAAACTCGGTTCACGTCTATAATGGTACTACATTTTAGGTATTATATATAGAAACTTTATTCCCAATGTGAATGAAAATGTGTATGCGCAGATACATATGAAGTAGATATATAAAGGGTGAGGGAGAGAAATGGAAATCTTATCTACAGTTCTGGGGATTGTTGCGACATAAACTAGCCCCGAAGAATCATCGCGATGATTGTCTGTTAGGAGCTTTGGGTTAAATGCATCCAATCTTGGTCAACAAGACGTCGGAGCCGATTTTCAGTGATATATATATATGTGTGTGTGTGTGTAAATGACCGAACCAAGTTGTCAGAAGCACACTAGCTTTCCGCAGTCCTTGCTGCTCCGCTTTTCTGCATATCGGTAATCGGCCCTAAAGTCGAGGTGAGAGGTAGCTAACCACCAATACCCACCACCGAATCATCGTAATGATTCTCTAAGCCTTGTTTTTTTCTCGAATGAACCCCCGGATCTACGAATGAAACTTGATAT